CCCGTTGCCGGCCCCGCTGCCACTGCTCCCAGGGGAGCTGGAGAAATCCCGGGGCTCTCTTGCCCTTCCCTGTAAATAATCACAGCTCCGCTCCCTCCCCTGTCTCCGCGGGGTCGTGCGGCGGTACAGCCGTACTCTCCCCGTGCGGTTAGCGAGTTCTGGGTGCTTCCTCGCGGCGCCCCGTTGATGAAATTCGGGGGGTAGCTGGAGCGAATCATCTCTCTTCCCTGCTTGTCACACTTACCGTCGGTTTCCTAGTTTTCTAGGAGAAGCAGTGAGGAAACAGATCTATAAAGGTATTGGGCATTTAATTCCTATCGAAGTTGATTTTATTTGGACTTGGCACCTAAAAGGTTTTTTTTGGGGGGGTGGGGTGGGGGGTCTTTTTTTTTTTTTCTTTTCGGACCCTGTGTGACTACTTCCCAGGCTCCCCCCCTTCCCCCCCGCCCCTTTTTTTTTAAACCAGCTGTTGTCTGTCTCTTCTCCAAGGGAAAAAGGACTGTCTTTTTCTGCTCATTTTTTTCTTTTTCTGGGCTAGTGGGAGGAAAAAAACCTACTGAATGTTTTGGTTGAGCAAGTGGGATTTACGTTTGCCCTAAATTTTACCTCTTTTTAAAATTTTTTAAAATCTGGATCTTGAAGCTAACACACATACTTGTCAACTTGAGAGAACGTGACCACCTTGTAGATCTTGCCAGAGTTGCATACTGTTAGGTACTATTGTGAAATATATGCTTTCCTTTTTTTTTTTAAACCTTGTTACTCACTTACCTGTTATGTTCTTCTTCACATCCAAGTGTCATGCCAGTTGTTTCATTTCTCCTTCTTGCCCCTTCACTGGTATTTTGGTGTTGGCTTGATGTTTGCTGTTAATTGGTCAGCTTTGTCACAACCTTGGGAAAGTAGCAGGGCTGTCTTTTTGCAGATGTGGTGGCTAGATTGGCAGGCCAGAGGCTTTATCTCCTGTTTTCTTTGAGGCAAGAACAAACAAAATGAACAAGTGAAGTAACTGCTGTTGCAGTGGACCTGTTCAACTTCATTGCAGGGCTTGCTTACAAGAAAGAAAGAAACATCGAGACGCATAGAGCTGAAGCTGACAGAGATAAATCTTGTATCGAGTCTTGTCATTTTATAGTGTGATTGTCTTCATCTCAGTGGCTTACTCAGTTTATCATTTGCCTTGTGAATATCTTGACTGATTCTCCATTTTACACTGTGGCTGCTGATGTTACCAGAGCATCTGTGTCATGTCTTGGTAACTGCTGCATCATACCTATGTGGTCTTCTGTGCACACTAGTTCATGTAAAGACTATATGCTGATGTCTTACAAGCTTTTTGCCTTTATTTTGTTTAATTAACTCATATGGCTAAAGGATAAACATTTCTCCTACCATCTGGGGAGGTGTGGGGAGGGGGGGAGATAAAGGGTATGGATCTTGTCAGCATCATGTTGGTTTTGGTCTAGTTGTTAAGGAGAATGAGTTGCCTTCAGCTAGGAGTAGTATCAGAATGTATTAAGCTGTGACAGACTGAATGTTTTGGTTTTATGACTTTGGCATTCTGTCCACCTTTTGCTGTAATTTCTTTATTAATGCCGTTATCTTCTATAGTCGAGGAGGACTGACACAGCAAAACTCTTCATTTCAGTTATCGAACCTCTGTATGTAACTTTCTCTGCTATTGCTGTGCACTGTGAAGAGTTACTGTTGTGCAGCTGCATGGATAATTGCACTATTTGCAGTTTAAATCCGTTTCCTTTCCTGGTAACTGACTCAAAGCTCACTTCCTAGTGTTAGAGAATTGTTCCAGTAACCCCTCCCCTTTCTCTTTCTCTTTTGTTGTTGTTTTTGTTTTGGCCCTCCAAAAAGTAGCTCTGAATATTGTCACTTGAAGCGTGGATGTGAATAGTCTGGCCAGGGATCTGGCAGGGGTATTTTCACAGCAATTCTTTTGAGGGAGCGATGTCAAGCAGTGGTATACTGCAGTAGATGGTGCAGTGAAATCGGATTGTAAACATTGATGAGAGTCTGACCTTTCTCCAGCAAAATTGAACTTCCTCTTGGCCTAACATACCGTAATGGTCTCAGTATTCACATGTGAAACAAACTTTCATTCTTCAAATGCTCTAGGCCATCCTCATCTTTAATCGTAGTTGTGAACTATGTATGTCTTATGCTCTGTTTGACTGCTAAGAATATGAGGATGGCTGTTGAGTAAGAAGTTAACTGTAACTTGTTGTTGTACTGTCCTCCTTCCCCCAGTGCTTTAGTTTTGGTAATTGATTTTTTTCTAATATTTGTGTTCTAGGTTGAAGACAGCAGTAATGCTAACTCTGGCAAGCAAGTTGAAGCGGGATGATGGTGTCAGAGGACCCCGTGCATCCAATCCAGCTTCAGATTCAACTCGGAGGGTGTCTGTTCGAGATAAATTACTTGTTAAAGGTGAAAGGAACTTATATTTCAATATTTTGGGACTTACAGTTTGCAGGTGTGTTGCCAGTGGACAATACTAGATTGCATATAAAATGGTTTGCAGAAGTATTTTTAAAATTGCTTGTGACTTACTTGAGGATTTATACTGAAGGGTATAGATTGGCATACGTCACATCTCCAACAGCTCTTTGCCTGTAGGATGCTTATTTTCATTAAATAATGCAAAACTTAAAAAGCCTCCTCCTTACTCTGCTGAAAAAGTTATCCATCACTGGGAACTGTCATCAAGCATTATGATAAAAAATTATCACGTGTCACTAAATATGTAGGAGAATATCAGAATTTACTTGATGGGAAGATATTTTTTGAGCAAAAACATAACTGCCTGTGACAGGAAAGAAAGTTCTAAAAGTAATGTCAGTGCTTAAAAATGCAATGCAAAGAGATATTTTTCACAGAATCGCAAGGGTTGGAAGGGACCTCGGGAGATCATCCAGTCCAACCCCCCTGCTAAAGCAGGCTCTCCTAGAGCATACTACACAGGACTTCGTCCAGGCGGGCTTTGAATATCTCCAAAGAAGGAGACTCCACAACCCCCCTGGGCAGCCTGTTCCAGTGCTCTGTCACCCTCAGAGTAAAGTTTTTCCTCATATTCAGCTGAAACCTCTTATGTTTCAGTTTGTGCCCATTGCCCCTTGTCCTATTGCTGAGCACCACTGCATAGGCCTGGAGTCACTGGAAGTTGAGTAGGAAGTAGGAATGAAAAACTAACACTCATTTCTGTGGTATGATACGGTCTGTTCTAGGAAGGCTAGGTTGTTACTAGCTGGCTTGCCATTGGTGGCAAAAACCCCCAAACTTTTACTTTGTGGCAGTTCTGGGTAAATGAGGTAGTTTGTGAAACAATAATTAAACTATTTTATAGTAAAATCAGGGACAGATCTTTCTTCATTTTTTCTGTAGCATAGATAGCCTTACATTTGAAAATCCATGGGTGCTGACACTGCAGTTACCATGGGCGTAAGCCCAGGTTTACTCCCTCTGGTAGTAGTTGAGCATTGTAATGCTCCAACTGTGCAGTTTGATCTAGTGGCAAGGAATATGTTGTTTCGGTTGATACTTCTGCTTCAAACGATCAATAGTGAATATGCTACTGTTGATGTGTAAGCTGTCACAGGTAGGATTCACGCCAGTCACATGAAATGTGCTCATTTCCTGGTCTTATTTCGGTATGGTTTGAGACCAACACTGGTATATTTCCCTGAATGATACTGCCTAACCATAGCGTTACAGACGGCTTTTTCGAATTAGAGTAGATTCTGCCATATAACTGTATACTGGAGCAAGGTTCTGCCTCAAAAGCTGCTGCTTCGGTGCACTGGGAAGTGCTTCAGCTAGGCTGTAGGAACGTTATGGTCACAGTTTTCTCTTTGCATTGTTCTAAGGACGGGGAGTTTTAATTCACTTTAAACCTCAAAATGTGATAACTATTGCAAAGAGCTTGCTTTAGACTTCCGGTTTGGAAATCCTCAGTTAGCTCCCATTCTGAGGGGGAAAGATATCAGGCAGGAGGAATAAGCTCTTTAACTAGGCTAAGCTACAAAGCCAAATTACTAAATATATATAATCTGAGATTTTTATTAACCTATGAGTGTTGACTTGAAGGGAAAATAGTGGTGTAATAGAAATATACTTCAAGTACAGTCCCTGGTATAGTGTGAAGTGCTGTAAGAAATTTTACTGTACCCTTAGAGTAATCATGTTTTTCACTTTTATGACTAAAACCTTACCTATGTCTGCAGTAGAAGAAAAGAATGTAAGCTATAGAAAAGTAGTATTGACGTTGTAATTGCTATGGCTGCCATTAGCAAACCAGCGCAGACTAAGTATTGAATAAGTTGAGGCCGAAACTGAGAAATGTTAAAAGCAGGTCACTGCTGGCATCCTTCTGACAAGCGTGAGCGTTGGATTGTGATCTGATTGTGTATGAAAGATGTATCACGTTGCTCTCCAGAAAGAGTTGCTGGAGCGGCTGTCAGTCTGATCAGAAAGGTTTCTGGGCTGAAATGGGAACTGACAGTAGAAGTAGATCACTTCAGTATAACTACACTGAAAGTGAGGGGAAAATCCAGTAGTTAGTCTGGAAAAGACTTGTTGAGGATATTTTCTTTTAAGCTACACTTTAAATGTGGACGGTTCAGTTACAAAAGTTTCTAGAACTTGCTCCAGCTCTTTAAGCTAGATCAGCTGAAGCAGCATCAACACAGCCTGAGTGAAGTTTGACTTCTGATGTTGACAGGTTTTTTTAGGTCATGTTGTCTAGATCTGCAGGAATGAGTTTGATAGGGAGTGAAGAACTGCCTGCTAAAGGTGTGTGTAGAGCGAGGGATGCCTTTTACAGCTTGATTGTATGAAACTGTAATAGGCTGTTGTATTAGACTTGAAACAACGTTGGTGGGAGCCTGTAGGAGTAGTTGTAAGTAGAAGTTGTTACTGATATGTGTGTTCAGGCTGCAGTTATCAAACAAACAGATGGCAGTTACAGAATGGGTGAAAGGCTCAATCAGGTCAATCTCCTGGCAACTGTGAATTGAAAAATAAACTGTTCTACAGAAAAGACATGCTGGCTATCAGTAAGGAAGGAGGAGATGAGGGAAGGCCCGGCATGTTCTGTCCTTGTTTGCCCCAACAGTTGTGCTGAGGTTAGTGCTGGTTCAGTTTTACCTCTTAACGGTGTTGGTGGTGGTTTTATTCTACTTTGTAAAGCCTCCGAGTTGAAAGAACATGGGACTGTAGTGACGTACATTAGAAAGCTCAGTGATAGCTATGCTCTTTCCGTAGCACGTCTGGATCCTTTTTGGCGTCAAGTAAGTCTATAGCTTCTGAGTCAATAGGAGAACAGTGGGCAGCTGGTCTGTGCAGTGTCCTCCACAGCAGCTTAGGTGGATGATGGGCTGTCCTGGAAGCTTAGCTGAGGATGATTTTTGGCACAGTACCCTAAATCCTGCCAGGCACTGGGAGCTGGCAATAGGGTATGAACCAAGGTCAGATAGCTGTTTGCCTCCTCAAGTGGTGATGATATGCTAGAGACATCCAGAGTAAATTGGTGATAGTCTCATAAATTCTGTAGACAAATGTCTACCGGTGTTACTGGAGGTATTGTCTAGATACAGACAGTGTCTGGTTTTTATCGGGAGATAAATTAGACAGCCTTGTTTGTGTTGATATGGAGTCCTGTCCAGGGAGGCAATATGGCATCTCTTTGAAGGATGTGTTGTCACACTGATAACCCTGCAGGCCTCAAATGTATTGTGTACACTGACTAGTGAATAGATAATGACATTTTGATTATGGGGTGGATGGCCTGTGACCCCAGCCACTGGTAAGTGCAGACGATGCTTAAAAGAATTTAAAACTTTGGCGTAGACCAACTACACATGTCTACTAACTGATACTGCCTTCAAGTAGAAAAAATAAGTGATAATTTAGGTATGATGTTAGCTATTTGCACCATATGGATGAGAAGAAAATTCAAAGTTGGCATTTGAAATACTTTTACTAAAGCTGGAAGTATGTGAGCTATCAGCTGAGATTTGTCAGGTGCTGTCCTTGGCTTTAATTATGGGTGTAAGTTAAACAGGCTTTTTTTTCCCCCACTTCTATGCAAAAAGTTACTGTTAAAATACTGGTGCCATTTGTTAGTGATCGCTTAAGTGTCCAGTATTATATATTCAAATATCAGTCATAGCTCAGGGAACTGTTCTGTTGGGTTATTTCATGGGCACATTATGAAATAGAAATTCTCTTCCAGCTGTTTTTCCTCTGGCATGTTGTATGGGTGCTAAACAGGATTTGGTAGCAGCCTGTCCCCTGCTGATAATCTCAGCAACTAGTGGAGCACATCTGAGAGGTTAGCAGGGCACATTTGTCTGGGGTGAGGAGCACAGTGGTAGTTCTGACGGAAAACCCTGGAAAGTCGCAGGAAAATATCCACCACTTTGAAATCACTGAGGGCAGAAATGTCTGAGAGTGTGGGAAGGCGAGGACTAGTACTTAAGGCTGACAGTTCTTGGAGAGAGGCTTTCTGGCCAAGGAGGAGTGGACTAGAGAGAGACCAAGCAGTGAGCAATGTTTTGAGACAAATCAAAAGGAGGAAATGTGAACAACTAGAGAAGGTAGAAGGCAAATACTGATGTGGGGAGGAGGAGCAGACAGAAATGGTGCTTGAAGGGACCTTGGCTCTCTGGCAGGGAGGGAGGCTCTAATGAAGCACAGCTTTGTTAAAAGTTCAGTGTGACTTATTCTTGCATCTCTATTTTCACTGGATTTTCAGTATAGGCTTAGTTGGAGAGTCAGGCCCTAATTCTGTAGACCTAGTACTCAAGTTAAAATAGAGCAAGCAGTACACTTACTTTAGCAGCTTTCAATTTGTTCTGTGTTGCAGAGGCAATTTTTGATGTTTAATTCATCTCTAAGGGGGAACTTCATTAAGTTAGGATAGAGGCCACATGCCTGTTCCTGCAGGATGCTCTGAGGTATGCAGTGCTGAACTTAAGAGGCAGATCCCTTTCTGAAAATTCGAAAGGAGCTGAGGACAAGTTAAAGTACTATTAAGTTCAATATTATATAGCGAATGTGATTACTAGATTGAATTAAAAACATGCCAGGATGTCAGTCGTAGCAGCAATGTATATGCTTGTTGATCACAAAGGTTATCCCTTGAAATGCTTTTTTATCGTGTACCTAAACATAATTCATTTTTTATATTACCAGTGCTGCTCAGTTTGATTGTAAATGGCAACTTGAAATGATATCTAAGAAAACGAGTTAGCATGGTTTATTCCTGAATTGTTTTCAACATTTGTGGGTTTTACAAGCAGATTTATGTAACTGGAAAATGTTTCAGGTGTGTGTTTGTAGGAGGAAGTGGGAAACTGATCATAAGAATGAGGTAGATGTGCATTGCAAGCAAAAATGAGGAGAATCCAGGCATTCTCTTCCTTCAAACCTTCAGGTATGGTAATATCCCTCCTCAGAATAGCAGGTGAGGAAAATTGACAGGAAAAAACTTTTTTTTATGAGAATTAATAAAAAAACCCAAAACCCTAGTGGTTTACATTAAAATACCTGTAGCCTAACTGTGATAGATACTGCAAAGATAGGTAAAGCAAATAAAGACACAACAAGAATTGAGGCTATTTTGAAAAATTATTACTGAGACTTTTTCTAGGGTTTCACTGACAAAGGGAGGCCTGCTTCAATGTATTGCTTCACTTCGTATGTCTCTGGTTTTCAGCATACCTGAAGTACGATTTGATGTATTGCAGTGTTAGAGGTTTCCAAACACAGTGGCTTTTCCTAGTTTTTGATGTCAGGCTAGTAAGTTTTGTAATAGTGTATAGAAGCTGAAGCAATGTGACTTGATAGTATCTTGTTTAAAATAAACATTTGGAAGTAGAAGGAAAATATACATCTCTTACTCTATCAAAAAACCTGGCAATATTGGGCAGCTTGCTTGAGTTCTAATACCAGAATGTACAGTTCAGAGGTGCTTTGGGAAAGCTATAAAGATAGAATTAGGAGGCAAACAGCACTATACCGCTAGAATTAATACTTAGAAAATGGAATTTTTGTTAGAGTGTCAAGGTATTTATCTTAATCTCGTAGCAGTCTTGAAGATGCATGTTAAATGGGGGACCTAAACAAGGAGAGGGAGGCTTTTTGGACAAAACCAGAGAGACGTCAGTATTGCTGTGGATGAGAATGCGCATTTCAGTTGAGGAAATAATGCTTTCATTTTGTGTACTTAAAAACAAACTCCAGTGGGAAGCATATGGCCTGACTCTTTGTGGCAAGGCCAGTAAACAAAGCACTTCTATATTCTGGCTTTTTGAGTTGCGGTGGGGGAAGGGGAGGGAGCAGAACAACGTGATTTAGAGTCTGTGCGTTACTGAATATAACATTCACGTGGGTCTCGCATAAACCATATGCCTGTACACACGTCAGGAGTGTGTGTTCCTATTTCTGTCCTGAGAATTGTCATGGGTAAGGAGAGTTATTGTTTGTGAAATAATTTATAAATAGCTCTGGTTGCTTGTGTTAGGTTTAGCTTTCCTCTGTTATGCTTCTGAGACATAATCAGTTTGCATTCAACTCTTCTGAAGTCTATGGTAGGTTTAAGTTTAACCCTTGCCTTTTTATTCTTTTTTATGGTTTAAAATAGCATTTGGAACTGTTCAAGCAAGCACATACTGGGTCAAGAGCAGGACTCTGCAAATATACCTGCCACTTGGGTGTGCTTCTGTACCAGATCAAGTAAGGTTTCAGGAACACCAGACTGGATGGTTGGGAGCTAGTCTAAGTCTGCACCCAAATTTGTTCTCTGCAGAAGCTTTGGCGTGTGTCTGCACTTACGCTACAGCCTTTTGGACCTACCTGGGAGAGCTTGTCAGCATGGGTGCAGGGCCTTGCAGTGCTCCTGGGTTTGCTGCTTCTTGGCAATCAGCCCTTTTGACTGCGAGAGGAATTCAGATGGTCTGTGCTGCTTCTGCACCTCTGCTGAGCCAGCACTGAGCAGGCACTGATGAGCACTGGTTTCTGGAGGAAATTCTGGAGTGCTTTCGCACAATACTTCCTGAGACTTGGGTTATCCAGTTGTTTGTCTCTGCATCGTAAGGAGCAGTTCCTAGCTGTGAATTGAGACACAGATACTGATTATCCATGAAACATTATGAAAAGAAGTCAAATAATATTTTCTTTACTGTTTGGCTGTAGTTACGGTCATTTTTTTGAAAGAGGAGGTCAGAAAGTTTGTGAGATTGTTTTTCCTTTGATTTAGTGAGGCTTTTGGAGCTCTTGGACATTCAGTGCACTCGAGCTCTGATTGTTGCTTTTATGTTTTGCTTATTTACAAATCTATTAAACCATGCCAATAAGTTGGCAGACTGCACAAGGGGCATTTTCTTTCAGAGAACAATTCTTGTCAGTGGTGTTGTTTTATGTAGAAAATATATAACTTAAAACATCAGAATCTTAATGGAGCTTGAATGATGTGGTCAAAATGTTTGAGCAGCAAAATACAAAAATTACTTCATGTCAAGATTGTTGCTACCAAAGAGTCATAGAATTTGGAAAACTCAAACACTGTAGCTTTGGCCCATTAAATGTGCTGGTTATTGTTAACCACCAATGTTTGTGTCACAGTTGATAGTAACATCTGTTTCCTTACTTGATGTCACTTTAAAAGTTTAGAGTATTGAGGCAGGTCTTTCCCTGCCTTTTTTATTTTATAAAATTGTTTCATTCTTCGTTTCAGTGGTTTGTTGCAGAGTTAACTAGAAACCTTAATTTTGGGGAACTTGCCTTTGTTCAGAAAGCTTTTGTGTGGATTAGTTTACTGTAGCCTTCCCATGTCTTTGCACCCCTTCAAAGAAAGAACACGCTGTTCTGTAGTCATGGGTGTGAGCACCTTTGGTTTTATGTTTTCACATGAAAACCCGCTCATTCTTGTGCCAAGACAAAGGGAAACACAGAAGCGTGAATGTGTTACAGGAAATTTTTCACACTTCAGAGGAGCTATGGTGATCGGCAAACTCTCTACTGAGCCTTGCAGGAGGCAGAAGTGAGGCTCTGGCTCAGTAGCGCTGCTGCAGCCCAGCCACTGCTGGGTTTGAACATGCTCTGTGCTTTGGTGTCCCTTTTCCCTGCCTGCCCTTTTCTCAGAATTGAAGTAAAGGGCAGGCAGGATTCATTAAGCTGAACAACACACAAGCACAGAAAGCAATAAGGAAAGCAGTCAACAACTTAAAATAAGAGCCAGGTCCTAAACTCTGCTGTCTAGTGAAGATTGATAGTGCCTCCCACTATGAAAGGCTGGTGAGTTTAAAGAGAAAAGGGGTAGGGAATACTCTTACGATGGGTTTGTATAGCTGCAGCCTTCAGTAGCTGGTTATGCCTTCTTTTTTTTTTTTTTAAACCAGAAAGGAAAAGTAAAAATGAAGACCTTGATTACAGCTGAAATTACATTTTTGCTATATTATAAAGACAGTCCTCATTGAAAACATTTAGCAAAAGTATGCCCCCAGTGTGGTGTGTCTTGCAGCACAGAACTTTGGTTAAATCAGCTGTGGCTGCTCAAGTGCTGCAGGGTGTGGGATTTAAAGAGTGCAATTGTGAGCTTCGTAGGTGTGTGAAACACAGCGCTCCTGTTTTGGTGGGGTTTTCTCTCTTGGTATAGTAGGCTGCAGATGGCAGGGATGCCAGGGCTGTGCCAAGCAAGTGGGAGGTGGGAGTCAAGTAAGCATCGTGCTTGCTGCAGAGACCAGCCAGGTTGGGTAAGCATGGATGTGAGAAAAGTTCTGGGGAATCAGTGAGCTCTTAATTGTGATGAGAACAGTTTGGATTCTGTGCCAAGAAATTGCTCCTCATATCTTAAATTGAGTTACAGTTTTCTATAGATGTATGTTTTTGAGAGTTGGTTTTGAAGTCTTACATGTTGTTAGCCCAAGTAAATGGGCTCTGTCTGTGCAGACCAGAAAGCAAAGTTAGAAATCAAGTGGGGAAAAAAAGCCTACAGGAAACGCGTGCAAAAGAAAAAAAAATTGACTAGGTTTCCTAGAGCTTTAGAAGTATAAGGGGGAGGTATCTTGGTGCATCTCAGTCATATTTCTGTGAAATACAAGTAGTTGAAGGTAAGACTTCAATAAAATACACAAAAGACTGAGAAAGCAGGGGGTCTTCCAGAGAAAGTAGCGTGGCAGAGAAAGGGCATAGGGGTGAACTTCCCTTCCTAGGAGCTATGCAACTGAATCAGGTTACTTCCTTTCTTTTATGAATAACTTTTAGGTTTTGTGGATGGGAAACACAATAAATAAAAAGAAGCCTTAATTGAACAAGAGTGTGTATCTATAGCAAACCGTGCTCTGAGGGGAAAGATCCGACAGGGACAGGAGCAAAAAATCTTAATGCTCTGAGTTTGTTCAACAGTGCAGCAGTGCAGTGGATGCAGTTGTGTTTATCACTTCCCTGTAGGCATTGCTGTGTTAGGTGCTTGAAGTGAATGTTTGTTTTTCTCTTTCTTTTGGTGTTCTTCATGCTGGCTTCTGCAGGCAGGACAACATCTAGTATGACAGTGCCACTTGAGGAAGGGTTTCAATAGCTGTTCCCAAGTGTGCAGTACGTGGTATCATGCTCAGAGGCCTCTCCACAAAAGCAGTGTGTAACCTGAGGAAGTCTGTACCTGATGGTGACAGAGCAGCTGGAGGGTGGTGATGCTTATGCAAGCTGTGAACCTCCTGTACTTGTTTTTATTACTGAGCTGACACCCTGATTCTTGAGGTTTTTCTGCTTTTGTGTTTTGCAGGCTTTAGAGGTACAGCTTTCTGTATTTTAGTGCTTTATGTAGACAGCTTTGGAGCTTTAGATAATGCCACCGTTTGAAATGCTGGTGCTCTGTGTATTAGAAGCCCTGGTGCTTCAGTCTTGCCAAAGCTCAACCTCCTAATCACAGTAGGATACATTTGCATTGTCTGTAGGGCAGCTGAGTGTTTTTAGTAATGAATTGTGTGGCTTAAAAAAAAATTCAAGGTAAACCTTCAGTGCAGCTTAATTATATTAAGTGAAATTTGATTTACAGGGTAGTTTAAATTAGATCTGTGAATTTGGACTTCAAGAATGGCTTTATGCTTGCATAAATAACAGTATTTTTTTTCTTTCAACAGAGGTTGCAGAACTTGAAGCTAATTTACCTTGTAAGTATAGCATTTAATGACATCCATTTTAATGGAAAAAGGACAATTGAACTGAATGTTTTGACTGAAGTATGAATGTTAATCATATTTGTTAACTCTAGGGAAAGCTGTGCAAAACTCTGCCATGCAGGTTTTCTTTGTTCTCTCTTTAAGGGGTTGTGGAGAGGTGGATCTCTTATTAGTGTCCTTTGGAAGCAGTATTGATCATTTGGCTCTAGAATTTGATCGGTGGTAGAGTGGGAGCTTCCCTCATAAAACACCCAAAAGGTACCTGAACTGAGGCGTGCACTTACTGCCTCGTTCCTGTTATTCCTCCATTCTCTCATTTTCAAAACAGGAGATGCTGGTTTAGGGGCAGAGCAAATAGTTCTCCAGAAACATCTTAAGTTAACCTAGAGCTTTTTCACTTCACATGCAAGCTATAACCTGATGTATTTGTTAATAGTGAAAATACTAATGAAAAATTGTTTTTTTTAAAAAAAGTAAACTATATTCCTTAAAAAAAAAGTGCAAGATAATACAGTTTTAGCCCTGGAATCTGACTTGCATGTTATGTTAAAGGCTGAAAATATTAATGGTCACTTTAAAATAGCCTTTTAAGAGCACAGGGTAAGTGGCTCGTTGCTTCTAAAGCTGAGGATAGGTAGTTAAAAATCAAATATATGTTTTCTGCTCTTTAGCTTTAGAAAGCCTAGTTCTGTAATGGACAGCAAAACACAAAGCTCTTCTTTATAAAGGGGAGTAAAGTTCCTACTGCTTTGGATGTTGACAGTGAAGCTGAGTTGTTGCTGAGCTCCCTTTCCCTTCAAGCATTGACCAGAACAGCATCATTCTGCCATGAGTTCCTGGAATACAGGCAAGCTCAGAGGTACATTCAGAGCCCACGCTTGCTCTGCATAACTTCCTGTGGTGCACGTTCCTGTTTCAGAGTAATCTAAGATGTTTTCCCTGCAGGTAAAGAGGCATGAGCTGCTTGCAGCAGACCAAGAGTGTACGTGCAGGTTATTACTGTGCTGTGCATTCACGCTGTCTTGCCCGTATGCTTATCTTGTAAAGAAAAGCAGTCAATACTCTCTCTGATTATGCTGGCAGGTAGCTCGTGATGTTTCTAGTCTTTTACCATCTAAGGGAAGCTTTGATGATATTTTTTTTTCTCTCCAGGTTAAACTTCTGAGTGCTGCTTGTGATGAACATCTTCTATTTGCTAATGGTTCTAAATTCAGATCAATGCTCAGATCTCAAAAATCACTTTTTGGTATACAGACTGCCCGATGGGAGGAATTACAAGGGGGAAAAATACCAAACAGAAGCAGCAGAAAGGGAGGGCAGGAAGAGGCATTATTTAACTTTTCCTTTCTGTGTGTTGTTTGTTCTTAAAGGCAATTGCAGAGATTTTACATAAAGTAATTCTAACTTTTGTTAAACTTTTTGTGTAGAGGGTAATGAACACCTGAGAAATGTGTATTGGGGTTTGTAGTTACTACAATGCAAATGCATTACTAGGGTTTGTGTACAGTTCTAGTTATTTTTTTCAGGCAAATAGGTTCTATCTCTCCACTCCTTAGTTCCTTGACTACAGAAAAGGAACAGCCAGCTTGATGGATTAAGAAGCTAAAGGCTGCATAACATGGACAATAATATATACATGGATATACATGTCTTCTAGTGCCTGCTTGGCGGCTTGTCTCTGCCATAGTCAAGAAAGGCCAGTTTTGTGCGTGGGAAGGCAACTGGGTTTGTGTCATGAAATGCGAACAAAGAGCTGTTATGCTGTGAACTTCCATCTGTTGAACTGAAGCCACTGACTAGTTTAATCAGATTGATGTTTTATCTTTTTTTTCCCCCACTTGTTCTTCATTCTCACTATTGTCCTTAAATTCATCTAGTCTGAGAATAAAAACATAGTGTTTGGTTTGTAATGATGCTTCATAACCTTTGCTGTTAATGTGTGTAATGGGCTATGCAGAAGATACTTGTTCAAGGTGACAGCTGAATGGAGACTTCACTGGCTTTTGGATGAGGCTTCCAGTAAAGCTTGTATCTCATTATATCTTACAGGTATAAATAATCCTTTGTTAGCATAGGGCTGTGGTGGCTTCCTGCAGACTGCAGTGTATGATCAAATATTAAGATACACGTTACCATTAAAGAGCTTGTAAGGAAGAGATGCTCATTATGTATGCTGTCATCTTAACATGTAGCTAGTGTGTATACAGAAGACCAAGTCCTTTGGTATTTTAAGGTCTTGAGACAGCATGGTTTACTGGAAGGAAATAAGCTTCCTCACAGCTCAAAGAATTGAAGTTCCATTACTGCAGGTGACCAGTAACTGTATAGAGAAGAGGTGCTTAGAGACAAAGTATAGGAGGAAATTGCTTGACTGGAAGGACTAATCAGGGAGTGAATTTGGAGAGTATGAAAGATGATATACTTGCTTTCCCAACAGTGGAAAAACAATTGTCTGATGTAAATTATTCTTTTGCTTTGCAGGTACGTGTAAAGTGAATTTTCCCGACCCAAACAAGCTCCATTACTTTCAGCTAACTGTAATCCCAGGTAATTTTTTTAAACATGTTACATTTGTTTGTGTGTGTTGGTGTAGGCAACGTAATTCCAAGAGTTTGCTCAAGAATCCAGGAAAGGTTCTAGTCCAAGAAAGACTGGCTGTAATACTGTGATTATTTTATAGAGGCAGTGGAGAAATTAGGCTGGATTTAGAGAACTCTATTCCAATAAAAAGGCCATTGAAACTGATCAGATCTAGGAAGTATTCAGGTCTTGTTTGCTTGCTTTGATTGAAACAATTTTTTTTTTTCTCAGCCAATTTCAAACCACCTTGTTTTATTTGCTGAGAAGAATCCTGGACTAGTTCTAGAGAAATTACTCTGTTACAGCAACTGTTGCGTATTTATTCTTTTGTACTGATTGCTTGAGTCTGAAGAGTTGAAAAGATAGAAGACAGATGACAGATGTAACACTATGGAAACCTTCAAATCTATGCATGTCTGAAGATGCTTAACAAATTGTCTGAATGTTCAAGCATGTAGAAATGAGATCTTTTATTAATAATAAAACTAATGTAAATATACTGTGAAGCTTATGCTGGCATATTGTTCAATAAAAACAAAACCTCAGGACTACGTTTTTGGAATTTATTATTTCCATGTTTAAGTTTCTTAATAGCCATCTGAAATTACAGAGTTTGCTCACGCGGCTGTCCATTTTAGAATAGAAAGTTGTGTTTCTATTTGGTGGATGAATTTGCATGAAAGTTTATTTAAATTTCATAGACACTTATTTTTTCTGTGTAGCTTTGAGACTGTGCAACAGTGAACTGTTTGAGTTGGATGTGCTGAGATCAGGATCTCCCTGCCAGCTAATTTTTGTAGATGTACATTTTCTGTAGATGCTTATTGACAATAGAATTTGGGTTGCAGTATGGCAGTCATCCCGATGTTTTACCTGTACGAATAATGGTTTACACTTAACGGGGTGATAGGAATTTTTCTGATAATTCAGTATCTTGACATCAAATGGGCGCTAGATGTCACTGTTGCTGCTTGTTAGCCAAAATCAACTAGCACTTCCTCGGCAGTAGAAATCTTGGGTGGTCTTTGTTAATGTGTCCATTCATGTGACTCCTTTTTGTGATGAAAAACCGGAGACGACTGCCCTAGTCAGTGTAATAAATAAATGCGAATGCTATTATAGAACTTTCAACTTCTCGTTCTGTGTAGGTTCTGAATTTGGTTGTGCTTGAGCCAAACGTCCTTCAGTTGATATGATGCTGCTTTGTTTTATTTTGGAAATGAGTTGGCTTTACAAGATCACTGCCATGTGAGTTAGGGGTGTCTTGAATATGAAGCAATGATAGCTTCTTCATACTAATTCTAAGGTGTCTAAATACTTAATCATTTGTTTGTCTGTTAACTGCTGTGTGGCAAGATGTTGTAGTCAGAAGGCAGTCATTGAGTACAGAGCATGGTTTTTGTGCTGGCTTTGTTGCTGAAATGATCTTGGGAAGGAGATGATCTTAATTAACATTTTGTTACTCTAAATATAGCTGCACAGCTGGAGTCGCTACAGTAGCAGTCTGACCGAAGTAAACATCTATTTTCATGTGTGTAATTGAGGTATAGAATCTTGTGATCAGCTACAGCTTAGCACAGCTCTCTAAAGGCAGAATGTAACACATATTAAGAAAAATCTTTGTAGCTTTCTTATTCCCTTCATTATTGATGTTTCTGTAGCTTTCTGATTCCCTTCATTATTGATGTTTTTCTTGAGTATGCTAAATCTTTGTTTTCTTTGGAATAGCAGAGAGTGGCTGTCACAGAATTTTTCTGTCTCAAATGGGCCAAAATCTTTGCTTGAAGCAACTATTTTTGCAGTGTCTAAACAAGTGCATGAATCTTGACAGCCTGGATTAAGAGCCAGTTTTCTTCCTGCCTGGAACTGTCTCTTGCATTGAGGAGCTGAGTTACTTCTAGAAATCCTGCTCATACATCTGGCTCCTAAGGGAGCGCTTTGCAAATATCTCTGCAGCCTTCCAGTTGTGGAACAAGAGCTGGGCTCAGCGCAGCTGTGGGTGCCAGGGAGTATCTAGTGCCTCCTTGCAGTTCTCACTGTTAGGAGCTGTATGGTAGGTGTGCATAAGCCAGGGTTGGTAGTCTGCACAGCAAAGAGTTCTTGCTGGCTCACTGCTTAGGGTTCTCGGTTTGCTTATCTGTAGTTACAGAGATTGCATCCTTCTATGACAGATCTGTTACAGGGGTGCTAATTATTTTGTATTTGTATTTTATGTTTTAAGTTCTCTTGTATTCTGATTAACATTAGAGATTACGTTTTATAACCATGTTTTATAAGGAATCTTGCACCAAGACAGTTTCTGCAAGTAGCTGGTTGTCAGGGTACCATGAAGGTACTGACTGAATGTGGTTTTTAACACAGAAATGCCTTTTATGGTCAATGTTCTAGCCTTATGTTATTGACAAAGCTTGTTCTTGGGCCCTTTGTTTTATGCAGTCATTTTGATTGTCACTGGTCTTGAAAGGACAGTGAAAAAAGCTTCTTTACGTACTCAAAAAAAGACTAATTTGAATAAGAAAATAAACTTTTCCACCAAGCAGAAATACTTTCAGCTCTCTTGCTCTGCACTTCTCATAATGACTTTTCTTAGTAACTATTTAATGTCACAAAATGACCCTGGTGACAGTGAGTTTTAAATTAAAATGAATTCGTAGAAAGTCTTGATGAGGGTGAAAGCTTATTTCACATAAAAAGTTACTTGTCCTCAAAAATTCCAATTCCTTTATGTTATAGCTTTCTGCAGTAAACCATGATGGTATATATAGGAGCACATGCTAGAAAAATGGATAAGAGATTTTACTGCCACGATGGACAAAGTGTGTGTTCTCAAGGCAGATACTGCTGGCTTTCTCTGCTGTCTGAAGCTTCTTTTTCCTTTTGTCATCTGAAACAATTGTTCTGTTGCTGAAAAATGCCCTTATGCCGCCACTTGCCTATGTTCTTATTTTTGTGCCAGTACCTTATTGGATCAAAAGCTAGGAAAAACAAGGAGATAGATGCTTATAATGGGTGCAGAGTCCTGCATGCTGCACTGATATTTGGAGCACAAAATTGGAAGCTGAGGCTAAAAGATATTAATGACCTGGAAAAAAAAAAAGGTCATTTTAAGTAGCTTGCACATGAAGAAAACTAGAGGAATATGTAGAGTTAATGCAATTTTCCTGCAATTCCTAGACAGTTGGGGTAGTTTGGGGTTAGTGTGATTATTTTAGTCCCGTTCTTCGGGGAGTTAATAAAGAGCCTGTTTTCTGTTTTGCATGCTATAAAATGACAAATGTCGCTGAGCATGGCTGCGCATTGCAACGCTGCTGATTCAAGGAGCTACTATCAAAAGCATGTCCTTTGTGGCCTGTCCTAATTGTCTTGCATTTTTTTTAAAGTGATAAAATAATTTAGTTTAGTATTTCAACAGCACTTTTAGCCATCAAAACACCTTACAAATGCAAACTTAAGGTTAGAGTCAGGTTGTTGATAATGCGACTTGAGAAGTGGGAGGGGTGCTTGCTCTGTTAATACAGCTTGAAGACCTAAATTTAAGCAGTAGGAAGAAAACTGGAGCTCAGACGTATTCCCTTTTTGCAAAAGTCTTGTCAGTGGCCAACTTCCTAAGTTATGTGCTAAAGCTATTTTATTTTACTTTTATTTATAGCACTTCCTTCACTATTAACTTTGCCAGAACTTCAGTTTTTACCACCGCTGGTACATGCCTAAAAAATGGAGTGTCTTTGCCTCAGTCTCTATGGGTGTTGTGGGACACAGGGAAGGAAACTACCAAGTGGGAGAACCTGTTTACTTGCCTGAGATGCTGTAAGGTGAAGCCTTCATTGCGAAGGCTTCTCTTGTTAATGCATTGTAAGATTTCTGGCTGGGTACTGAGGCCCTCCAGGGATATGAATTTCTAATATATATTTGAGTGAGTGATAGTGAGTAGCATGCTTTATAGTTGTTTAGTGAAAAGATTTACAAACATACAGGGAGAATTATAAAAAAAGGGGGTGAGGGGAGATACTTTACTCTTCTGATTTGATAAACATGTCCTTGCATATTTTATAACAGAACCAGTAGGATACCCAGTGCACTTCTTGGTTAGCACTAGCATGGACTGATGTCAGGGTAAACCCGAAACATAAAATGAGAAGTTGTAATGCAAGACAGTGATGAGTATTGGTTTGTCTTTGAGGGACACTCAGTCATGTAAGTGTGTAGAAGTGACCTGCACTGTGAGATACAATGTCTAAAGTGCTCTAAGTCTTCCAGAGATTTCTCAGCCTTACATAGAACACAGAAAAAACAAGTAAAAGAAAATGGAAGTAATATATGAGGAATCTCTTATGCCTGCGGAGCTGTTAATATGTGGTTAGAAAGTGCTTGTGCTAATCTAAAACTTTTTTGCAGAGAAAAAGGGGTGTTCTTTCACTGTCTGGTCCTGCTACTTCTGCTGACACTGGTGATAATATAACCCCTCAGCACACCAGTTCATCTCCATAATCCTGCAGAAAACTCTGCACTCTTTTTGCCGTGATGGTTTTACATAGCAAGAAAGGGCTTGCCCCCTTCAGCTGAGCTTCCCTTGTCTGATTTCATCTTGCATGTGGATACTGGGAGTTTCTGCCGTGGCTGGATAGAAGTGGAGCTACCCTGAGCTAGGTTTGCATGGTGAGGAAGAGTAGAGAAAGTTGAACAACTGTTCAGCCTTTCCATTGCATCTCTTGAGCAATGTCAGAGTGATCTTGCTGTCTGTGCTTGGAGTTGAGGACCTACCATAATGTTCCTGCATGCTGCAGAGGCTGTGGGCCTGGTGTTTTCAGTGTGCAGAGAGATGTGGAGCATGGCTTTTCTCCTGCTGCTTGACTGGCAGGAATATGACGGTCTTTTGGCAAGTTCTTCTCCTTGGAGCCGTTCTTGAATGTTTCTTTCAGACAATTGTATTACAGTGAGGATTCATTAAATCTGAGGACTTTCTTTAACATAAAGCACATGTAGATACATCCATCAACAAGCATCTATTTCACATTAGCAGGGGTGGAATATGAGGAGGTGCTGTGCACTTTGCTCCAAATCTATGACCTCAAGGAACTATTGAATTTAAGCCAAGGAAAATAACTTTCTGCTGCTGGACTTCCTGAGTAACCTTGACAGTTTTGGTGTTTTTCCTTTACCTTGCTGTACTGGCAGCAGGGTTCTTCCTGCGCAAACACGTGGGTGTTTCATGTGATTGCTTATATTGGGAAGTGATAGCTTGATAAGTGCTTGTAAGCCCGTGGGCAGTGGGGATGCCTGTGAAAGGCTTTGAGGTACATGGCTTGCGCTATAACAAACACTGAATTCCTGTATGGTGCTGCTTGTTTGCTTTAGTACGATTGCTGAAAGACCTGTGTGTCTGATTCTTTTGAGTGTGGTTTTTACAAGGAATGGTATCATACGTGGAAATTGTGAGGATTCATGAGACTTGGTTAAAAAGCTCCTGTAATGTGCTAGATGGTGAATAAAGTGCAGTTAGCTATGTCCTGTAGGGTAACTCAGTGGTGTTTGAACTGTTTGAACTCCCACGGGGATATTGGACCATTTTCCTAACCATTCTTTCCTGGAACAGTCAGTGTCTTGCTTTGAGTGTTTTGCACATTTGACAGGGAGGAGTTTCATCAAAGATACTGGTATAACTCACCTTTTACATCTCATTCTTTAGAAATTGGTTGCTTTACTGATTTTTATCTCAGTATATTTGAAAACAGAAGATAAATGCTTTTATCTTTTTTCCGTAAAAATCTGCATGTGCATTGGGTTTCTGGCAAGGGGTAGCGTGCCTGACAAGACTGCTTAATAAATCAAACACTTCAAAATTGAATTGGAATTGAAATGGAGAATGTATTTGAAAAGCATAAGTTCTTGACAGGTTATTAAAGTGAGATTTGGGATGTCTAAGGCTTTGCAGCTTTGTCCTGCACAGCTCAGTGTGGAGGCAGCTATCAACATTACTGTATGGGGTGAGGAAGACCAGCCATGTTCTGTTTTTGTACTCTGTGCC